CATGACTGATCAGCAAGCGGTTGACCAGATTGGGGAGATGCTATATGACTGCTACCGAAGATGGCACATGGCCTTGGCGAATCTGCCGTTCTGGGGTGAGGGCATTGACAGGGATGTCATAAAGTTTGTCAATGGATGCCGAAATATCGCACTCGGTAACCTTCACTGGAGGTACGTGCAGCCGCCCCCTTTCAATTGACTGACTTTGATATGCTGACGAGATCAACAGTCTATACACATTCAGATATCTTGGCAACGATGGTCCAGAAGTAAAGCGGACTCGCATGATGAAGCTCCCTTAGGCGAAGATTTGTTGGGGATGAGACGAGAGGCGAGAAGCGAGAAGCGAATTGCGTGGAATGATGTCGTGAGCTGACCCTTCAGGCGAGAACAAGGGGGTTTTCGCTTCTAGAAGGAAAGGGTCAAACCCACTTTAGATACCCGTATACGAGAAATTGACTTTTGTTTCAATTGGTTCATCTTTCATTCCAGCAACTGTGGCTTTCATACTGTACATGCGGTTTGAAAACCGGGTTGTGAGTCTTGGCTGTTGGTTGTTGGTAAGACGGTTTGGATGAGGAATGCTGACTATCTCCGAATTCCTTGGATCTTGGAGATATCTCCATATCTTGAGATGTCTCGGTTGTTGGTTCTCAATGCTCAGATCAACAATTCCAATGAGAGACAATGTCGCAGATCGTAGGTTTCCGTAAAAGCAAGATAGGCTTTGAGGTCGTCTCTAGAATTGAAGCTGATCTCGTTGCCAAAACAGCCAACTCCGAAAACCTGCATGAAGGGGCATCAATCTGTGACAAACAACTGAGCCCACTCTCGTCGTATTTACTTCTGCCACATTCGTAGAAAATTAAGCAAGAAGAGTACCAGGGATACAGAGTAATGGGCTTATCAACTGAGTGATCCAGTAACTGTGATCTGTATAAGAATTTCCAACCAGGAGTTGCATATCCTCCACAGACTTATGCCAGATCCACAAATGACAGTTCAACTACGGGACCAAGTTTTATAGAGCCAATTCATTAGAAGGTGAGACCAAAAATAAGAACATGGTATTAGATATATACCAGACATTTCAAAAAAGACATCCAAACGACGCAGGCCTGATTCGAACAGACGCCTCCGAGGAGAATAGATTTCTAGTCTATCGCATTAGACCACTCTGCCACTGCGCCTTACGTAATGGATATCTGGCAGTGCAGAACATGGGACTCATAGTCTTCTAGACACTGTAAAATAAAAGTAACTGGTATTATCCTCGTTCATTTTGGCTAATTATCAACAAGTCTTGTTGTTATAGTGTGGTTGACCTGTATTTGGTGGTGCACTGTTGGCATAGCTATTGGCACGTCAATCTAACTCTCAAGCAAAAACTTCAAAAAGGCAAAATGATATCTTCGTCCCCAACGGTGACACTAAATAAGAAGTGGAGCGTCAAAGTCTCAAAGAATAGATCAACCAGACTAGGATAATGCAGTTTTTAACTTTATTAGCTATCTCTTCAGCTGGAGAAGCTGATCCAAGAGCCAGCTCTTGCTGTGACGGTTGCTTTCCATTTCGATATCAGGATACCCTACATCACCAACAAGAACAAAACAAAACGCAAGGTGTTTTGCCCAAGGTATTAAAACAACACGGCGAATGTGAATGATAACAGTCCAGGGTTTATTCAGAAATCAACATGCTGTGAAAGCTAGTATCAGATGTCTTATTCCGCGTGGTTCAAACATTCTTTATCTCCTATCGTTGTAGATGAGAGTTTGTTCCCGCCAGCAGCTTTTTTGTCACGAACTAAACCTGGGCCTTGAACGAAATCGTCAAACAAATACAGTCCATAACAACGAAGACCCAAAATCGATGACGGACATCGCGGCTATTGACGCTCATGTCATCACAGCACTCAGGCTGCCGCGGTTATTACCCAAAAAAGCCTAGCCACCCAATCATTAAGCTTTCGGCTCATCGAGGTCATAGCCGGGATCCATCCCATGTGATATCGTCAGATTCAACGGCCGCCGGAGAAAACGCTCAATGCAATTCAGTTCGCTCCATAAACCAGGTCAAAAGGCCCGATACCTATGAACAGCATACTTACCGTGCCGCACTCACGATCCCATCTGGTACGTGAAAAGGACCGATGTGACCTGATGAGCTAAGCCCAGGGGAGCATCTCGAATGCGGGGGTGACGGGATGATCAGCGAACCTACCCCAGAATCGTCATGAGGCTAAATCGCCGTTTCTGGGGTTGAGGATGCTATTGGTTACAGAGGGTCGAGATTCTCGGCGTAATTAATTCGATAGTCCTGTCGGAAATATGCAAGACGTGACGGTTTCGTGATGGGGAATGATTCCGCGTCTTTTTGAGTTGGATATATAAGTCAGATCATTCTGCTGGTGATCTGCATCAACAGTCCTCTTTGTCTCTCGTTCCTCACTGCCATTCTTTCTTCCGGCATCTACGGAGAATGTTTACTCAGATCTTGTATGGCCTCACGGCCTTGTTGGTCCTCCAAGGCCAGGTCACTGCGTCACCCGGCGGTTCCAGCCTTGGTCGCTTCATTTCGAAAGAGGCCGACATCTCCATCAAGGGCGTCCTTGCCAATATTGGCGCCGATGGCAAACGAGCTCAAGGCGCTGCACCTGGTGCCGTTGTAGCAAGTCCTTCGAGAACAGACCCAGACTGTAAGTCAATATTTAGCATAGTATCCCGGATTGTTCACTAAGAGGTACTTTAGACTGGTACACATGGACCCGAGACTCCGCCTTGACATATAAAGTCCTTGTCGAGCGCTTCATCCACGGAGACAAGTCTCTCCAGCGCAAGATTGACGAGTATGTCTCTGCCCAAGCCAAGCTCCAGGGCGTCACCAACCCATCTGGCGGTCCCGAGTCTGGCGGTCTTGGCGAGCCCAAGTTCCACGTCAATCTCACTGCATTCACGGGATCTTGGGGTCGACCACAACGCGATGGACCTCCTCTGAGAGCTACTGCATTGACACTGTACGCCAACTGGCTTGTTTCTCATGGTGACCGCTCCAAGGCCGTCAACAAGGTCTGGCCCGTCATTGAGAAGGATCTTGCATACACCGTCAAGTTCTGGAACAGAACCGGTTACGATCTTTGGGAGGAGGTTAACGGATCTTCGTTCTTCACCCTCTCTGCTTCGCATCGTGCTCTCGTCGAGGGAGCTGCTCTTGCTAAGAAGCTTGGCAAGTCTTGCTCCGACTGCGCAGCTAACGCTCCTCGTGTTCTCTGCTTCATGCAGAGCTTCTGGACGGGCAGTTACATCGACTCGAATATCAACGTTAACGACGGTCGCAAGGGTCTTGATGCAAACTCTATTCTATCCTCCATTCACACCTTTGACCCTTCTTCGAAGTGCACAGACTCAACCTTCCAGCCCTGCTCATCAAGGGCTCTTGCAAACCACAAGGCAGTAGTGGACTCTTTCCGCTCCATCTATGGTGTCAACAAGAACAGAGGTAAGGGTAAAGCTGCTGCAGTCGGTCGATACAGTGAGGATGTGTACTACGACGGCAACCCTTGGTACTTGGCCACTCTTGCTGCTGCCGAACAATTGTACGCTGCTGTTTATCAATGGAACAAGATCGGTTCCATCACCGTTGACAGTGTCTCTCTCCCCTTCTTCAGTGACCTTGTACCAAAGGTCTCCAAGGGTACCTATCGCAAGAACAGCAAGACATACAAGGCTATTGTCAAGGCTGTCACTTCATATGCTGATGGCTTTGTCGCCGTTGTGCAGACCTACACTCCCAAGGATGGCTCCCTCGCTGAGCAATTCGACAAGTCTACCGGAACCCCCAAGTCAGCTGTTCACCTCACCTGGTCCTACGCTTCTTTTGTCGGTTCGGCTGAGCGTCGCACTGGCGTCGTTCCTCCAGCTTGGGGCGAGAGCAGTGCTAACAAGGTGCCTGCTGTTTGCGAAGCGGCTCCAGCCTGCGACACCACCATCACCTTCAATGTGAAGAACGTCGATGTGACGACTGACCAGAAGGTCTACATCGTCGGTGGGATCACACAACTTTCCAACTGGGATCCTGCCGACGGCATTGCGCTTGAGGAATCCACGAGCACCAAGGGTTTATGGACGGTGAAGGTCAAGATTCCCTCCGATACTAGCTTCGAGTATAAGTACATCAAGAAGACGAGTGATGGAACTGTTACGTGGGAGAGTGACCCCAATAACAGTGCTGCAACAGGCAGCAAGTGCGGAAGCAGCAGTACCATCAATGATGAGTGGAGGTAGAAGTGTCAAGGGAGTTGTAACTAGTTAGTTTCTGTTTAGATTTTGATAGATGTAAATGGGTCTATGATAAGAAAAGAGCCAAAATAATGCTCCGGTTCGATCTTCTTATATTGACATGTCCTATTCCTTTGTTACTACTGGTATCCTTTCCTTCATGACAATAACCTAAAATGCCGCATCTAATGTTCAATTCCCTGAGAAAGATTGCACGATGTTGACATATTTGGTGGTGAATCGGTCAAGCTGTTGGACGATTCAACGACTGCTACGGCTACTCGGCACTTTGAGTTTGTGATCTATCCCTTGTCAAGAGTATCGCAGACGTGATCGGTAAATAGTGGGTTAAAAATGCGCGTCCCATCGCAGGACCCAGTCGCAGCATGTCAACGATTGGCGAATTATTGCATGCCATCCGCAATCATACTTGAAGGATTCGAAGCGAAAGCTTATAGCCAGAGGCTCACATAAGTGCATGCAAACAATCTTGTATTCATTAAGCATAAATAAAGGAAGCTTGACCCATAAAAAGACCCAGTGTTCAAAACTTTAACGCAACGTCTATCCTCGAGTTTTGCAGTTGGTACAGTAGTCCATAATGACAGTACATGAGTTGGAGAGGCGTATGTGTCCGCAGATATCAACACCGTCATTCTCTTTGGCACTCTCACGACTAGGAAACATTCAATTAGCATTGATCACATCCCAGGGCACTTTGGCTTACGCTTCTTTGATGTCAGAACCTTTCATGCCAATACCGTAATCGTCGCACTGGAACTTGGCAATGCAGGCCGCTTGGCCGAAGGATGCTGCGACAAGAATACCTTTGGTCGAGCGGCTATAGCGAGAAGCATAGCCGTTGTAGATAGTATCATCCTCAAACTTATTGATCGCTCTGTCGCAAGCTTCACGAAGACCCTTCTTAGACAGACCATCACCAGTACCGCATTGTCCACCACCATCATTATCTACAGCCGTCTGACTCGGCAACGGAGTGGACACTATTGAAGGTTCACCTACGCCGACTGACTGGGTGATCTTTGCGATACCTGGGATGTTGATGTAATCGAGCACGTAGGCTGACCAGACCAAGACCGTCCCGTCTGCCGTGGTGGTGATGGGCTGCTGGATAGGCTCATCGGTGATGGGACCAGTTTCAGGCGCTGCAGTAATTTGTGATGGGAATTCTGTGTATGCGGTGCACTGGTCGTCAACCAAGCTAGTAGTTGCGTAATAACCCTCACCACTGATGGTCGTTGAGCACTGACAATAGGGCGTCTCAACTGCAGGGCCGCCGTGGATGACACATGGCAAGTAGGTGCGAGTCGCTTCTTCATCGGTAGATGCTGGCATGCCAGTAGTACCGCTAGTGCCTCTGGTCTTGGTCATCAAGGTGCTGGGGGCGGTAGTGACTGAGTATGTATCAGAGGCTGTTGTGAAAGTGGCAGTTGCTTCTGTACTCGAAGTCAAACTGAAAGAGTGAGTAGTCGTAAAGTCTTCAGAGGTGAAGGTAGAGACTGCTTCTGTATCGGTTAGACTAGTCATGGTTGACTCCTCTATCGTTGTTGAGCCAGAAACAGTTGCTGTCTCAGTATCGTTCCAACCATCATCATCACCAAAGATCTCCGCCCATTGCGCTTCCAGAATTGCGACTATCTCTGGATCAACATCAGCGGTATAAGCATCCTCTGGAATGACAATGGCAGGATTGGTGTTTGGGACGCCAGCCCAAACGAACTCCGATGTTAAAGTCACGGTCTCTGTGGCCTGTGTCTTCGTAGCACAGCTGAAGATTGTTGGACAGTCGCCAAATTCGGTCCTGAACAGTAATGTTAGTGCTATCTAAGGGTGTCTGAGAGATATGCCTGTGTAGTTACATGATCTGGGTTCCGTCCGAAGTCATGTATGAAACGGTCCTTGTACAATCTGGCTGTGTTGCAGCTGTACATTCCTCTGAAGTTGTTGTCTCCTCCGTAGTAGCTGTGGTGGTGGCTGAGGTTGGCTCTTGAGTGGTTGACAGTACTGTAGATTGGGCTGTAGATCTGTCGTCCTCCTTGGTTGAGGCTTCATCATCGTCGTCATTGTCATCGTTGCCTTCGTTCTTGTCCCCAGGTTCATTCTCCGGGACAGGGTTGGCAGTTGGGGCAGGAAGATTAACTATGCCACCACCAACTTCACCACCATCCAGCTTCCAAAACCACCCAAAAGGAAAGATGACAATAGCGGCGCCATTATCATCTGTAATGGTGGTCATACCGGTTGATGAGATGTAGTCTTTATTCTGCTCGGGGACGTACGTTGCCACTGTCTCATCCGTCCCTGTAACAATACCATCTTCGAGGTCACAGTTGAGGAGGCCATACCACCCGTGGTGATCGGTTGTTGTGGAGATTCTGACGTCTTTTCACTGACTAAAGACTTGTGGTCGGACTTTGTGCCTCGACCTGGTTGCTCGAGAGTGGTCGTGGGCTGGGAGGTGCCTGTCGAGTATGTCGGAGTCGTTAGACTTTCCAACCCGGTAACATCAGATTCTGTTGCTGATTGGAAACTCTCATAGGTTTTAGAGGTTTCATCGGATAAGGTAACGAGTTTAGAAGGCTGGCCTGTAGTCTCCAGATCACCCTCCGATCGGTCTGTAGTAGGCGTTGATTCATATGTGCCAGTGCTTTCTTCTGACATTGTCGTGAACGATGAAGCTGTAAGATCTTGGGAATATTGCGAGGTTTCGCTTGGGAAGTTTCCGTCTCGATAGCAGTACTAGGTATCTTAGATTCGGCTTCACCTCTTGAAGTACCGGAGGTACCCGACAAAGTCATTGATGTCGGACGAAGTGAGATCTCTGTAGTGCTTGGCTCAGTGGTCGTACCACTACCGTCGCGTAAGGGTATATCAGGATCAATCGTGGTGCCAGTGGATGGCTCAGTGGCAGCTGGGTTCTCTACAGATGACTCATATGTAGTTCCGCGAAAAGACTGAATGGCTGAAGGAGTGACGGGAAGTAAACCTGTCCAGTCGACCACAACAGGAGTGACAGAAGTACTTCCGCCTTCGGACGATGAGACAGAGATACTCCCAGTTGGATGACTGGGAGGATCAGAGGCTCCATCACCAACGCTGTTATCTGTAGCGGTATCAGTCCCGACGCTAGAGCTCTCTCGAGAGTAAAGCGTAGTGGCTTCAACTAATTGACGCGTTGAAGTCGGGAGAAGAACTCGAATAGAAGTGCCAACAATACTGCCATTGCCGGGCAGAATAGTGCTGGGCAAATTCGAAGCAGCTGGTGGCACCTCAACGGCTTGAGGATACCTCTTGAGCAGGTGAGTATCACCAAGAAGATTGGCCTGACAGATTCCTGCCAAAAGACTGAAAGAGATTGCGCCTACGTTCCAGAACGATGGCATGCTGAGAAAATGAGTCACAGTGAGACAATAGGAAAACTTTGAACGGGTGTTGTTAATTCAGTAATCGGGGAAAGGAAAAGATTGTATTCAGGTAAGAGAATGAATGAGTAGAGTCTGAATATTCAATAGATGCGGACTTGTGGATCGGGGAATACCAGATACAGCACCATGCTAACATGGCATTATGACTCAAAAGACAAGCCAACAACGATCTGACCAACACGCCAATGTTAAGCCAATATACTCGAGAAATCCACGAGTTTCGTGCTTAGATTACGCGGAGCGTAACGCGCAATGTAACTCAACCATGTTGACCAATGCTAACAAGGATTTGCAATGTATTTGTGGAGCGTTGTTGGTTCCAACAACTTTGCAAGTCCTTTTGATATCAGCGCTACAGGCAGTCGACCGTGCGAAATATTTGAAACAGAAGAACATACGCACTATAATTAACTCAGCGGGGATGTTAGCGCTTTGTTCTGGCCCCTGCATAAATCATCAGGTCATAATGCGCCGTTTACAGGGTTGTCAACCAACAACCAACAACCAACAGACTCCAAGATTAGCGTTGTAGAGATCCCAGGACTGACAGGTCTGGCACAAGATCAGTAGATATGTCTTCCCCTACCATGAAGCTTCCGGGCTCTCGCTCATACTCTGCATTTCCAGCTCCTCTAGTCATAAGTCACCTTCGTTCATAGAGAGCTTCCAACAGCAGTCATTTCTGAGTTTTTGTTCAAGTCATAACTTCACTGTCTGTTTCTTTACTGCATTTTCTTCATTGCCGGTATATATTACCTTCCTACTGTTTAACACCATGACAATCTTTATCCACCTCTGTTTCTTGCTCTGGATGCTCACTGTACCCATTTCCGCTGCCGAAGCGACTCGAACTACTTCGGTAGGGGATTCCGTCGCTACAAGCACTAGTCTTCTCAAGATATGGGATGTAGACAAAAGTTGCAATGAAGAGCTTGAGTACATGCAGGATTCCATGAGTATTGCCCTTGATATTGTCACCGCCGCTCACTCTGCTCTCCAATTCATGAAAGAAAAGGTGCCGGATAAAGAGAAAGATGAGAGTCGGTACCAGCGCTGGTCGACCATCTACAAGTCCGTTCAATTATTCTTTGGTTTCATGACTAAGGAGCGACCCAATTATCTCAATGAGCTTATAGGTAAAGTTCGACGACACTGCCATGGCATGACATCTATGACTAACAAGTTTCAAGATCTCTTTGATAAGATGGAAAGAGTCATTCCCAGTCAAGAAAACGACCCCCCGAAAGGGTACGTCAAAAGGCTAAGCAAGCTGCCGAATGCCAAACCCATGATGATGTGTCGAGATGAAGCCGGTGAGGATAAATGGAAGTGGTATGATGTTGACGATGTACTTCCTGGCCAACAAGTGTCAATAGCGAATATGCCTGGCTTTATTAAGTATGCCTTTGATAATTCCGGGGCGTGGGTCTATGGTCCCCGGTTCACTTGGAAGGCCATCGAGAGGGAGGAGCCGATCCTCTGCGAGCCAGGCACGGCAGCCGCTGTCGCGTGGGACAAGGATCTAATGATATTTTGTCGTCAGCTCTTCACAACTGAGAATAAAGCCAAGAAATCTCCGAGGGAGTTTAGAGAGTCTGGTATTGTCGCAGGAGAAACTTTGGGCGAATATGCTACGCATCTTTCGGTCGTCATGGTTCACGAACTTACTCACTGGTTCCGGTGGCATCACCACGAATGGTGATCCCGGTACGTTGAGATATATCACTATCTTGTTCAGGAGAACGTAACTGACAAAACGTAGTGATAGATGACCAAACGGCTTTGGATGATAAAGGTAGGCCGCTCTATAAGATCGGAGAAGAGCTACATGGTAAACGCCCGGAGCCGTCACGAGATGAAGCCAAGGCACTGGGCTGGAAACGTGTCGAGGCATGTAAGTTGTTCGAAGCATGATTTGGATCCGAGTCATTGAACTGACATGAGTGAACACTGTTTCAGATGGCGTTAAACACATTTGTAACTTGGCAATATGCGATAAGAAGCGCTACAGAGACCACTGTGGTCCTGAAAAAGCGATTAAAAATGCCGATTCTTTGGCGTTATTCGCTCTGGCAATGTAAGTTTCGTTTGTCATAGAAGTAGAATAATGTCCGCCATGCTAACACCATTGAAGGTACTATGATAAGTGGGATTGGAGTTCTGGTGCTCGTGCAAAAGAGCCAGGGTCTAAAAAGCGGCCAAAAGAGGGCGAGGGAGAGAATTCACGACAAGACGACTAACTGAGTAAAGCCTCGAGAGCATTTAAGAGAGGACGGGTATATCTTGGACATTTTGTGATCGGCTGTAATACAAGTTATTTTTAAACTCTCTGGCTGTGTTTTTGGATGTGATGTCAGATCAGACAGGACAATACTGGCTTCAGTGACTTAGCGCCCTGTGATCAGCAGATCGCCCAGCTTTTGCTAGGCGCTAGCCAGTATGTCTGAAACAGACCAATGTAACATTGCATAAATCAGTCACCAACAACCAACAACCAACACTTCTATAATGGTAACTCCAAATCTGTCCGTGAGCTTTTCCAACTCTTCTCTCTCATCATCTCACAGTATCAAGTCGCTAAACAATGGATTACGGACCGCGACCACCAAACAGGCCAAAGATGGAGAAGTGGTGGAACGAGCATTGCGAAGCTCAAGCCAAACAGCTTCCAATTCTACCCAATCCTCGACCCCGCGCTTTGACGCCGAGTCTGACTCCAGGTGATGATGGTATATCCAGTTCAGCACCCATACCGCTCTACCAAGAGTCCTGTTTCTGGTTCAAGGTTCCGCCCAATATCCGAAGAGATATTCTGCGACTTGCCTTTGGAGATACACGTCTTCATATTTACCTGCATTATCACCATCGCAATGCCCCCCCAGACCCAGACTCCAAATATCACTGCAGATTAGTTACAGAGCCCGAGAGTTGGGGTAACAAGCGCTTTCCAGTGACCGATCAAAGCCAGGCAGAGGGATGGCAGTGGCGGGGCTCTAGATGCCATCGTTATCCCCCCAACATGGCGAAAGACCCAGGCCCAATGACTCACGATGGTTTGAAAGGCCCGTGGGATGACTACTGCTGTAATGGCGGTGATCCGGATATCTGTGAAGCTTGGAGAGCCGAAGAAGGCTCTTCTGCGTGCAATATCGGCGTCATGGGTTGGCTCTTATCATGCAGGCAGAAGTAAGTGGCGATCTCATTTGTTCTGGAACCTATCATATGTTATAGCGCTGACAGATAACTGCAGCTACCTGGAGACCATCGAAGTCTTGTACTCCACCAACACGCTGATGCTGGGTGAAGTATGCATGGTCGAGCATCTTCCCTTCCTTATCCCCCCTCAGCGATTTGAGATGATGACTTCTCTGGAAATCACCTGGTCGCTGAAAACACACTACACCGCCAATCAGGACTACGACGATATGGACGAGAGTCACCTGAAACTTGTATTAGATCTTCTATCACCTTCAAAATTCCCTGCGCTCCGTCGACTTTACATATGGTTCGCCAAAGGCCGGCCCTGTTGGCTTAATACCAATGGTGTTGAGATATATCAGAAAACCATCTTGGAGCAATTGGACCTTTTTGTAAAGGAAAGAACCAATCTACAAGAATGCGGATTTGCTCTCCCTCGATGCTTCTTCAAAAGGATAGTCGCTGCTGCTAAAGGTATTACTCTAGACGAAGTGGAAGAATGGGAACTGCTCCACACAGTTCCTCCTCATGGACAAGTCTGGCGAGACGTTAATGGAGATATGACTGTTTTACAGTTGCCATACGTAGACAGCTATCCAAAAGCTCCATATCACATCCCCGTGAGGGCAGGATATTGGATCCTCGAATCATCTTACGACAATCTGCCCACTTATCGCAGGACTAGCCCTCCTCCTCCATGTTTCTATCCCGCCAGCATTCCACCATACCACCATGGAGGCTTAAGCCACGATCGATCACGAGACAATTCTCAGTCACCACCCTACAGTCCTTTGTCGCCACGTTACAGTCCTTTGTCTCCCGGTTTCAGTCCCAGATCACCGGCCGGCTCCGATCAACCTGGCGTCTTTGAAATAGATGACACATAGAAGTAAACAACCCAATATTTGCTTCAATGGGCTTATCTACCTACCAAGTACTCAAATCATATCTTGCATAGACACATTCACGATTGTGGCAACAGCCACTTCATCTTGAGTATTGATAGTTATTAATCTTCTTCTAGAAGCCAAAAGTCTAATGATTTCTTGTTGGAATAATAATGGTCCTGCGTCATGACTCATGAATGACCAGACTTTCAAGCATTCCATTGTGTTCCAGATCTGTCAGTATTGAGAGAGATTTCCTTGTAGATAGGTTCCCATATCTCTGGCTCAACTTCCATGTACTTGTCAAAGAATTTCTTGGCGTAATTCGTCTCCCGACACGATGTGCAGATAGTTTCGCCTGGCTCCTGAGGGTCGTGACAAAACTTGCATCTCCCTTTCCAATGCTTTTGCTCAAAAATACACCAGCTGCACTGGTACTTTTTTTGGGTACCCAATTTCGAGATGGGTTCGGGGCATGACATGCATTTTCCAACCTCAAGCCGTTTCTCATGATGTGAGTTACACCAAAGGCACGCTTTGAAATCCTTTTGCGTTTCCCTCATTTTGCATTTTTCGCAAACACCTTCCAAGATAACAGCTTTCTTTTGCTCAGCGCTGAGAAGACCTCTTCCTCGGGTGAGTTCGCAGTGACGGCAGGCGATTGCTGCGCCGAAGGCTGGGGCGGCGCATATCACGCAATACCCTGAAGGTCTAGGTACTTCTGATCCCGGACCAACAGATTTGATTGAAGTATCCCGAGGAGTCTCGGCTTGCTTCTGCCAGCAGACTTGGCATCTCAAACTAAACCTGGAGTCTACCTTGGTTCCACAGCCAAGGCAATGTGTACCGCCTTCACAATAGATGAGTTCCTGTGCCTTGGTTTTCATGTTTTCGGTATGAATTGATGGAGTCCGATGTTGATCAGTGCTGGAATTGATGGTGACGTCGTAATCTGTTATGGTTTGTAGCAAATTCGTTGCAATAGGCAGGGAGTTATATAGCTCATAGTGGACGTTTTTCTACCCACTGTTGACCTCAAGTCAACAGTCACAGTCGACTAGAAAGCTCGCGAAGTGTCATTGACTCAGTGAGGTCAGTGAGGAACTCTCCCGTAGATTGGTCTACATTCACTGCAACGCCAGCCTAGAACGCATACCCAAGTACCATTTGGACTCTTTGCCTGGACTGGGACTCGCATAATGCAAGCATTGATTCATTATGGCATTTGCCGTGTATCAGATCTCTTCAGATAACATACCTGATTAAAAGCCATTGGCGATGGTGCTCAGTGATTGTCTCTGGGATGCGTGTCAGCATTTCAAAGGCATTCACCAGCACTCTGTAGACTCGGGTATGAGAGGAGACCTGGATTGGCGGCCACGCCCAAGGTCGAGGGAACTCTATGATCAAATGTGCAACTCTACGGACTCCTTTTCTAGAACACGATCGCCCCTCCGTCTACGACAATATCCGTTCCGTTCATGTAGGATCCCGCGGAGCTTGCCAACAGCACCACTGCACCCGTCAACTCGCAAGGAGCGCCCATACGGCCACTCGGATTCCTCTCCGCCCAAATCTTACGATGCCCAGATATTCCGTCGCCCTCATTCAAGATGGTGTCCATATACCCCGGACTGATAGTGTTGGTGCGAATGCCATAGCGAGCCCACTCCGCAGCCAGGCAGTTCTTGAGCGTCAGTAAAGCTGCTTTGCTGACATTATAAGCCGCTTGGGGTTGGGGGTAGTTGACGCGGTGTGCTGAGATGGAAGACGTGAAGGTGATTGATCCTCCAGTGCCTTGCTTGACCATCTGACGGGCTGCAGCTTGTGCACAAATGAACGAACCAGTCGTGTTGATGTCAATGATCTTGCGCCATTGAGATGCAGGCATTTCCAACGTCTCGACACATCCAACGACGCCGACAAAGCAGACAAGACCGTCAACTGAACCGAGAGTGGCCACTGTCTCTTCAACGGCGTCTTGCACTGCCTTTTCATCTGTCACGTCGACCTTCATTACCATGATTCTTGCATGAGGGAAACGTGTTTCAAGAGAGGCGACTTCCTCCTTGGCTTGTGCTGGATTGACATCGAGGATTGCAAGACCTTCAAGTCCATGTTCCAAGAGAGCGTTGCATGAAGCAAGTCCAAGGGTACCTGTACCCCCAGTAATGATGAAGTTGCCGCGCACAGAAAATCGCTCCTTCGCTGCGGCGGCCGGATCAACGGCCGTTCTGTTGCTTGGTGGTGCAGTCATGGATGATGCTGAGCCGTCGCTGAGGATCATGGAGGGGACTGCTCTCGCAGTGAGCGCGTCCCTATCGGGAAGCTCTGTAACACCAGGAGCCATTTCGACTGGGTCTATAAATCGAAGAACCAAGGAAAGATGATAGAATGGGTATGCGTATGGCTGATCTGATTCTGTGATGTTACCACGAAATTCACCTTTATAGCCTGGAGCAAGCGCCCCACGCCCGATGCTTCGTCGGAGTACTGTCACCCGAGACGCTACACATACAACGGTGGAGACGAGGTCTAATAGCAACTACAAGTTTGACTCTTCTTCTATTGCATATTCTGCGATCTTCCAACTTCTCTATCGTCTCATTTATCTGACTTTTCTCAGCCCATGACCGAAATGGAAGATATCTACTCACAACTTGAGCGACGCGCCCTGACCCTTCTGCAGAAATTACAGCATCGCTCTTCAGATGCCAGGGCCATCATTATTCTGGCTGGCCCTCCAGGATCCGGAAAGTCAACTATCGCTTCTCAGATCGTCCATAGGATTAATTCCCTCCACCGAACTCCGATAGCAAAAGTTCTTCCAATGGATGGATATCATTACTCGCGCTCGCATCTCGACGGCCTCCCGAACCACGTCGAAGCTCATGCACGAAGGGGCGCACATTGGACATATGACGGTCAAGCGGTTCTTGAAATGGTCAAGCAATTACACGCTTCGCGAGAGAGCCCATTCACTACTCTTTACATGCCGAGCTTCGATCACGAGATAAAAGACCCCGTTCCTGATGCCATTGAGGTAAACTCAGATGTCAAGATTGTTTTGGTGGAGGGCAATTGGCTCTTGTACAATGAGCAACCTTGGAACCAGATTGTCAATTATGCAGATGATACTTGGTTCGTTGATGTCGAGCCTCAATTGGCATTACAAAGAGTTGCGAAAAGGCATGTTGCATGCGGCATTGAGATGACACTAGAGGCGGCGATGAACAGAGCGAGGAGCAACGATATGAAGAATGGAGAGGATATCCGGCATTGTTTGATTCAGCCGAACATCATTGTCAAAAGTGTTGAAGACGCGTGAGTTGCTCTAGTTCCGGTCAATAGAAATGCAGTTTGCTTTCAATAAGCTCACGAGGCTAATTGATCAACTTCGAGCTTCTGATCACCCCCATATTTGTCGGTCTCGAGGGGTCCGAAGCTGGTTACTCCGCATTTGGTGGCTGTTGCGTGTGTCGGCCAACAGTGCTCCGATGAATGAATGACGCTAGTTTGAACCTTGCCCTCTTGATAACTCCCCCTTCTCTTCGTAACAACGCGTGCATATGCGAGACGAAAGATGGGTCGTCCTCCGATGCACGGTTCTTCGAGCCAACTTCGAGCTTGTCTCAATTGTCAGAAGCGCAAGAGCCGATGTCAACCTAGCGTCAGTGGCCCTGGGCCTTGCTCCTACTGCGCCCGCGCGGGCAAGGACTGCAGCTTCGTGAACCCACCTGATCGGACACGGCTTACGCGGAAGAATCTCGATGCCATTGAGCTGCGCTGTAATAAGCTTGAGGCTCTAGTTCGGTCGCTGCACCCTGATCTGGACATTGATGCTGCTCTCGCTAACCTAGAGTCTGGTCAAGAGGTCATCAAACGAACTGAGCCAGAGTCGGACGATGACTCTCCTGAGCATGAGGAGCCAACACATGAGTATGAGTGGAGTGAGCCGTCATTGCCACCAGATTTTGACAGCCAAACCGATGAAGCCGCGGCTATGGATGGCATGGCCACGTTGAACAGCCTTGATGCTGGGTACTTAGGTATGTCGGCCCATTCTTCATCTCTCCATCATACCGAATGGTTTAGAATCTGACTCCACCAGGCAGTAGTTCGGGCGCAAACCTTCTCCAAGAAATCGCATCGATGCTCCCAGAGCTCGCGGCGTCTAATTCCCCTGCCACAAGTCACGGAAAATCTCCCAGCCAAATACACAAGTGCAAACCGTCTCTTGATCCGCCGAATCTGGCAAACGAATCATTAACAAATTATTTCATCGATGCATTCTTCTTATTCTATAATGTCTCATATCCAATTCTTCACGAACGATCATTCCGCCAGAAACTTGCCGCTCGGGGCATGCGACGTGGCAAGTCATCATGGAACATCATCTACTACCTTGTGTTAGCCATTGGTCACTGGATATCAACGTCAGACAAGCACCACGCAGGGTCTCGATTCTATACGGCTGCGAGGAACTCGTTGTCGATCCACATGCTAGAGTCTGGGACGATTGAAACCTTGCAAGCGCTTCTTCTGATGAGCAATTATTTGCAAAAGATGGACAAGCCAAATACAGGCTATCAGTTCACAGGTATCGCGTACAAAATGGCACTTGGGCTTGGAATGCATCGAGAATCGCCGAAATTGCAAGACAATGTTGGGCTTGAAAGGCGGAGGCAGTTGTTCTGGGTGCTTTACTGCTTCGATAGTGGGTTCAATATCACAACTGGGAGACCGCCACACGCACAGGAAGGTATCATTGATACCGCACTACCAAGAAATATCGACGACAAGGTAGCTGAGCTTTGTTCATCTCTTCCGTACAGAGACATCATCATGGTATACTAACAACAGCAGGACCTCGAGCCTACCATGCCAGTTCCTCCTGAAGCCGACACACCAACGACGCTATCTGCCATCATCGCACAAGCAGAGCTTGCAAAACACGCAAGCTCGCTATATCTGGAGTACCTGACTGCGAAGACATCCAACACCAAGGTCGAGTACCAAGTCGCCGAGACTCTAGAACGGACCCTCGCCGATTGGCGGCAAAGACTGCCACAATACTTCACTTCTGCGGACGTCCCAGTATGGTTCGCTGGTCCACGGGCTGTTGTTTTGTGGAAGGAACAGAATTTGCGCATTCTCCTTTGGCGGGGAAGTAAACGAAACCATCCATATCTGCCGAACAAGACCGATGCGGAGACACGCTGTCTTGATGCCGCCATGCAAAGCATAAACGATATAACAGCTTTCTGCAGTACAAATGAAGGTATATTGCATCTGGGCATCGTCTGGTATGCCACATATTTCTTGTTTCAAGCCGCTCTTGTTCTTGAAGCAAGCTATCTGGATCGTGAGGCCCAGGACAGGCTAGATAACGAGACGGCCGATTGGCGATTGATGGTCCACAAGGCGCAGAGTTGTCTGGTAACTTTCTCGGCGAGAAGCAGATCAGCTAAGAGGTGCCTGGAGGTTTTGGAGCTAATAAATAGAAGGGCAGAAACAGCAGCGAACACTCGGCGAACTGTTCTCACAGTGCCTGAGCTTGTTGAAGAAGTGCCAGCTACGCTTCAGCCTTCAGTAGGTGACGCTGATGCATCGCTCCCACCGGCCGACCTACCGAGTTTCGGTGACGGGGATCTCTCCATGGGGACGTGGACACTGAACGACGATGGATCAGATCCTACGATGAGGATGATCCTGGATAACACCCCATGGGGCTACCTTGATAATGCACCCATGGATAACCTGTTCAACGACTGGTGTCCTCCAGATAGTTTTGAACAATGATGTTTTGGGAAATCTCTTTATCTCGACCCTGGATACTAAGGTAGTACATAACCACCATCAATAATGATGTCTGATCCCGTGGTATAAGTGGAAGCATCACTGGCTAAATACAAATACAAGCCCTTGATTTCCTTCACATGCCCCTGTCTGCCAAGGACCGACATGCGATAAGCTTCGTTGAGTGCTAGTGGACCGGCTCCCATCTTGGTATCGAAGAAACCTGGCGACACGATGTTGACGCGGGCAAATTCTCTCCACTCGCGAGCTAATGACTTGCCAAAATGCGTCACAAATGCTTTGGTGCCATTGTAAATAGGTTGGTCCACAGGAACATTGACGATATGTGCGCTCATGCTAGAGGTGATGATGAGAACACCACTACCTTGTTGCTTGAAGACTTCGCCGACGTATTTGGAGCAGTAGACTACGCCGTTGACTGATGGGTTTAGATGGGCATTCCGGGGGGGACAAGAGATGGACTTGACATACCGTTCACGGACATTTGCTTGTCGAATTCGGGGAGAGTCTGTTCTAGGATCGGCTTGCTGATAGCCATCCCAGCATTGGCAACGAAAACGTCTATTCGGCCAAAGTCTTGTACGACCTGCTTTACAGTCTTCTGTACTGACTCAGCGTCGGATACTGTCATAATGTCAAATTCAGGTCACGTATTACAACGGGACGCCGTTCACATACCATCGACTTTGTAAGCAGCAGTCTTGACATTGTGCCTAGTCCCAAGATCCTGGGCTCTTTGGATGGCTACATCGTTCCTGGAAGATTGTCAGTGATTGAGTATGAGTCTTGATATGAACAGTAAGACTTACGAATTGTACCATAATATGACATGAGCGTTGGCCTCAGCCATTCCCTCCGCAACAGCGTAGCCAATACCGTCAGCACCACCAGTCACGACAACCACCTTGCCAGTCATCTTGAATTGCTCCAAGACATTGGTAGGGGTGTCGGGAAAGGGTCTAGGGAAGCCATCCCGGAGGACGGTACAGTCGGATTCGTTCATAGACATTTTAGTGGCGATCTGGCAATTTGGTGTAGAACGAGGATTGGCCACAGTCTCAATAACGGTGAGAATATTTATAGTGTTGTTGGTGATTTGTTGGTCTCCATCATTGTCGGGGTTTTGTCGACCGATAGGAGCACAATAGCGTAACTGACTCGCCCTCGTGGCTGGCTTAAGCGGGGTCACGGCTCACTGTGGCCGACGCACTTAGGAGGCAAGTAAATGCCGTGATTGGGCGCTTTAGTTCCATAGAACTGGTCATCTGGTGACCACAAATTAGCTTCTAGAATCTAGAATCGCATGTCGGAGTTTGCTCTCCTTTCATGATCATATGTATTGTCAGGGAGCTGGGGATCCAGGACAAGAGGCGGACAGCATGGTGAGGAGCGGTATGCCATCTTCATATCATGCACCGTTGGTTGAATGGAATTCGAGGAATGTTTATCGTAACAGAGACGCCTCACAACCCTGTGGGCGTCAGTACAAAAGAAGGCAGGCAGGAAATGAGAGTAGTATAACTTGAGGGC